GAACTTGACATAATAGTGGTAAGATCCATGATAACATACGGAAAATTTGCTGGTGGCCTAACATGGAACTACTCGATGCTATAGTAGAACTAGGCCAGTGTAGCATTAGAAACTATGCTGGACCTCTCCCTGCTACAATTTATTCCTGCTAAAATTTGTTATAACCAACAAGGCGAGAACATAGGCTACAGCTTTTAATAATGTGACTGGGGTATTTACTTGTAAAAAAGGAGCCATTTGTACGAGCCCCTTCCCACTTCAGTTGGCCCACTTCAAGATTTGTACCAAAATATGCCTTTATAAACTAAACATGACGAAACTATTTACTTCTAAAACAATTTTGAAAAACATTTTAGATACACTCTAGTCGTAAAAAATACATATTTGAAATCACTTAGACCTATAACTAATAGAACATCTGAACAAATAAACAATGTTCGAATGAATGCGCGAAGTTAACAAAGCAACAATTGAAAGATTACCATTGGGTAACATCACCTTTATAAATTCTTTGGGGCATAGTGTTAACCAAGTTTTGGAAAAAATTTGGTGTAAAACAATCCCATATTTCTTGAAGCTTTTGTCTCAGTTCGGTGATTGTACGAGCAGGATGTTGTCGTAGAACCTTTTTCATCTCGTGCCACAAAGTTTCAATAGGTGACAGATCTGGACTGCTAGAAACCCATTTCAAAAGTGGTACATTATATTCTTCCATCCATTTTATAGCCTTTTTTGAGGTATGGCATGCTGCACCATCTTGTTGAAACACAAAATCTTGGCCGGATGTTAAACATTCTTCCATCACTGGTAAAAGCGATTCTTCTAAAATTGCCAAATATTTGTTTGTATCCACATTTTCATCTATAAAATGAAGTTTTCCTACTCCTTTTGATGACATACTGCCCCAGACAATAAATGATACTGGAAATTTCACTTTTCTCTTCAGACAGTCAACATGGAATGCTTCATTTTTTTTGCGAATAGCTCTACTGCGACTGTCACCAACACAAACTTCGAATCGGGCCTCATCACTCCATTGTATGGCACACCATTGTTGAGGTGTCCATTGTCTATGTTCTTTAGCCTATCTAAGCCGATTTTTCTTTTGCAGTGGAGTTAATAGTGGATTTTCTTTGGCCTATAAACAAGTTGTGCAACTTTAGGGTTTTTACTTCACTTTTTTTATAAGAAAACATACCTTGTAAGTACTAAATCCCAGTTTGTGGACCTCTCTATGAGTTGTGGACCTCGAAATTCTCCTTCCAACAACAACGTCACTCCACAGAGCACTTAATTGTAAATAATTGGGACGCCTGTTTTTCACGATTATTCTTCTTAATGCTCTTCGGTCGGCATTTGTGATATTACGTTTTTTCACATATTGTGGCTTAATATTGTCTGAACCAGTTACGTTATATATTCTAACAATATTTCTCGCACTGTACCGCGATAAGTCTATCAAAGTTGCAATTTCTGAGTTTGATTTCTCAGAATTAAAAAAATTATCAGTAACCGAATTTTCTCACTAATAACCTTTCTTCTACCCATTTTGAAAACCTTAACTACCCAAAACTATTTTAAACGTATTCTGACAGCTGTGATTAATAAAAACAATTGTCATGGCTTTTATTTTTCACAGCCACCTATGCGTTATAGACTTATTTTGCATTGAAATGAAAATAGGTTGATATGCTGTACGTATAATTGCAACATGTGTTATTTTTATGCTGCAAATTTGATTAGGGAGTGACAAAGTTGGTGTTTTCTACTATATATTTTCAAAATATTCATTGTTGGTATGTTAAACCTATAACACCCTGCTACATTTTTATTATTTGTGTTTGATAAGAAAAAATTAAGATTTCAATAGTTGGGCCAACTGAAGTGGGAAGGAGCTCGTATATACAGAGTGGGCAATTAATAAAGGTCGCCGGTTGTATCTCGGCAACTGCTCAAGCTAGAGCTATCGGAAAAACATTTTGTAACAAAAGTGCCCAAGAAAAATTGCTGGAAATTATTTTCAGCCTCCTGAAATTGCTGTTAGAGGGCTTAGCTCTAATCCTAGCAGTAAGACTGTTTTTGAAAATCTTTCATAATTAATATACATGTATATTCAGAATATCTTCATTCGATAGTATTTGTGTTCTGCGAACTTTTTTTCATTTTTTTTTCGTAACTCGGTTGTTTTAGAGAGGGGGAGGGGTTGAATGTCATTTCTGAAAAAGTAGTCCAACTTCTAGTTGGCTTTATCGATTTCAATAGTCTTGGTATCATTTAAAATTGCTTTAATGGACGTTTCTAGATTAGGTTTTGTTAAGTGGCGCTTAATGACAAAATCGCAGTTTTTATGGATTTTTTCGAAAACTTCATATACTACTATTATTATTTGTTACTTAAAAAGTGAATGAGAAATTCTACAAATCAGTGAAAACTGCATGTCGTTATTTCTGCTATACGCTTAAAACACGGTGTCACCCTAATACTCCTTTACCTTTTTTATATATATGTATGTTTTTATAGAGTCTGTCATTCAATTTTTTTGTCAGAGATATCGAATAAAATGTCCCACTTGAACAAATACACCTAGTTTAGAGTCTGGCATAAGTTATGGCTGACGGGCAGTCTCTGGTAGTACCAACGAATTCAGACTAGATAGAAGGAGCAAGGCTACGATTTGTTTATCTCCAAAATCTCAGTCTGTAGTCAGGATGAAAGAGTATACAGCCAGTGCACTTGACATAAGTTAATTTTTTGACAGTACCGTCATTCGTATGTTTAGTTTATATTTTTTAGAAGTGCGAATATTTGCAGATAATTGTGGATTAGACGATTTCAGGACATGGTAACTTTTGTATAATTTGCAAAGAGCGGCGCACGCCTGATGAAGCTAATATTTCCACCGGTAAGTATGTTGATACAACGTTGTCACTTTGGTAGGCAATAGTAGTCAAATGACGTATACACTAAAACTACGCAATTTTGGCGACAAACAATGCAATGTAAACATGTAGCCATGACTCCTTCTTATCTATTCGAATTCGTTGGATGATACCGAATATCCGAATTTAAGTTAAAATTATATCAAATCAAATTTCTCACTTAGCACCAGTAAAGTGGACCTCTACCCAAATTAGGAGATTATGCAGGCGTCGAAAGTACATATATGAGTAAATGCTATTAAACGCACATTTTGTCTTTTAAAAACTAGGTAATGTCTTGCAGCCCTGGGATTTGGGATGTTACTCACATATTGCGCATTGGAATCCAGATCTTAGGAACCAGCATACATTTCTAGGTCCCAGGAGAAAGGCTTAAAATTACTATCGAATATACGTGTATAATTGGTTCCGTATAAATTGCCTTCCTTTTACAGAAAATGCAATTTATTAGAAATTAGACACTGAGGTATACGGATCTAGACTTATATACCATATATAGCATAAAACGCTAATAACTTATGTCGTTATACTATCAGCTGTATCAATTTGATGTGCTGGAGCATAATATTTGATCAAATCACCAATAAAGCGCTGAAGTTACTTTCGCGGAAATTCTCAACATATATCGTGGCTATAATCAACGTCATGCTGAGGACCCAGTACTTCCCAACATCGTGGAAGATCGCTGATGTTATTATACTGGTTGCCCAGGAATAAATTTCCCTTTTTAAGGGCTAATAAAAACTGTCTTGAAGTTTTAAAATTAATTTACTGAAGCAAAAATACACACAATATAGGCGTATTTCATGTTTTAAAAATTATAGTGTCGAAGTGCCTTCCATTTTGGTACAGACACTCCTGCCAATGCAAACATAATTCAGGTTTAATTGCTCTAATTCCTTCTCGTATTTTTCGTCTTAATTCTTGCAAAGTCCTAGGCCGATTAACATAAACTTTACTTTTGAGGTATCCCCACAAAAAAAGTCCATTGGGGTGAGATCTGGAGACCTAGCTGGCCAGTTTTGGTCTCCAAACCGTGAAGAGGTTCGGCAACAGCGCGACCGTGTGTGAGTGCGTGTCGAGTGCAAAGTGCGACGGAGGGCAGGTGGTAAGACCAGTGTTGCCAGATGAGTTAAAAGAAAATGATGAAACTCCTCTGCCGAAAATCGTGTAAAATCGTGTAACGCCGAAAAATGCTAAATTTAATTCAAATAATATGTATATAGATACGAGTATAAAAATACCATATTAAATAAATAAACTTTATTGTAAATATCAGAAACGAAAACAATATTAAAACGCAAGACACTAACTTAAAAAAGTAACATAAAGGTATATTTTTTAAAATAATAAAGTAAATACACAATTCGTACTCAAAACATTATGTTACCGTGTTACGAAGACTCTGAGTCGCTAGAGTCTTTATTTTCATGTTCGGATAAATATAATAGGCTGCTATTGCCGAGTTTTCTGCTAATATTTTTGTTTAAAGTAAAATCGTAACATGTTTTATTTTCCATAAAACTTTTTGTATGCAAAAGACCTTCTATTGTTTTTGTTTTTAACTTATTGCGAAACTATGTTTTAATCAGATTAATTTAGGAAAATATTCTCTCTACAGCCGCGCTCGAATGAGGCAAACACATAATTTGAAAAACAAACTTAGTTAAAATAGGAAATTTTAGAGAATCTCCTATCATTACTTGGGCAATTTCGCTCCAAAATTTTAAAATATCATTCTCAGTGTCATCCAGAGGGTAATTTTTTAGCAATCTCCATTCATTATCCAGATCCTGAATTTCATCAGGATGAATTAAATTTGGAAAAAACGACGCCACATCAGAAATGTGTTCTTCTCTTTGGATTTCACACAAATGGGATCCAGAAACTTAAATTTTTCTATTACAGAATTCTTTAAGGGAAATCTGAGCAATATTTGCTTTGTACTTTCAACATAAAAATCCAAGCATTTCACTTTGACAAAATATAAAATGTTTCTGTCAATTTTACTTACATTAATTGATGCACCAAAGTATGTATCATCAATTGTTAAAAAATTTCTCCGATTTTTATAATCAATTTCATACACCATGATGTTCTCTAAAATATCTCGTTTAATAAAACAGTCCATTATGGTTTTTAACACACATGTCACTTCTTCATATACTTTATGTAGCTGTGGCTTCTCACTCTGCATTAAAAGGTTTAGCCGGTTAAATAAAGGTAATATATATGCCAAAAAATCAAGGTATAGTTTTGTCTCTGGTTTTTTAAGTTTTTCTAAAATATTGTCGGCTTGCAACACTCCTTCATAAGCTTGCTCCGTAAAATAAAGGGTTAAGGCGTTATATTGTGTAAATCAATCGCCGGTATCATTTCGTATTACGTTAGTCATTTTTGTACGAATACATTTGATAGCTTTCAGAATCTGTGCAAATACTTTTAACTAAATTCGGAATATGTTCCATTAATCTTATTGGCAAGTTATGCTCCGCTATAAAACCAGCAAGGCGTAAAACATCCTCTTTTGCCTTTTCGTCGATATTTTTGGATTTTTTGCCAAACATTGACGCCACAGATGGTAGCGATTTGATGGTTGATATTAACTTTATGTGTTTGGCAGTGGTGATATGCTTTTTAATTTCTCCTTTGCCCCTCGCAATAAGGATATCGCAACTGCAGAATTTGCACCTAAAATATTATAAACTTAAATTATTTTAAAGTTACATAATCATATAACAAACTATCATACCACGCGTAAGTTGGGCCTTTCTTACTTGACTGGAGCCACTTCCACTCTTTTTCCCAGTCTCTTTTGTATTTCTGCGTATAATCCGCACTTTTTAGTTTTTTTTAGGCGTACTAACACAGCTAATATCTTTTATTTCTTGCATCGGCACATCACTCTCACTATCAGAAGTATTACACATTTTAAATACGATTTATAATGAAATACTAGATGGAAGTATCAGTAAGCAAAATGCATAAGTTAAAACAAGTAGTGAATGCAAATTGACAACGTACGACGTGATCAACATGAACTACGGGATTCCCCGAATTAATCGTCAGTGCCGCCAATTGATAAATCGCGTGAAAGCGTAAAACTTTCCTATATAAACATGAATAAGTGGAGTTGATACATTGATTTGGGTGCTGTTGGCATTTTAAATAAGTAAAAGTAATTAATTTTTTTATAAAATCTCAAAAATCGTGAGAATTGGCACTTCATTCGTGTAATCGTGTAAAAAGGACCGAAATCGTGTAATTACACGATTAATCGTGTAATCTGGCAACATTGGGTAAGACCCTGAGGACGGGTTGCGAGGGAGACGGGCATGAGCATCGGCAGAAGGAGGACGGATATCGTCGCTCGACCCGACGGACGTAGGAACATTGTAACTGCTATTTTCATTTCGAATTATATAGTGTGACTTGTAAATCGGCCTCTATTTTAGAAAATAAAGTGATATCGTTGTAACACCGTCTTCGTCCCATTAACCTGAGAGAGCTAGCTCGGGAACTATTTCAACCGAGAGATGACCTTTTCCGGGAATAATTCTCGACCGACTTCTATAGATGCTCGGGCTGTATGTGCGGTAGCGCCGTCTTGTTGAACCATGTTTCTTGATCAAAGCCATCAAATTCTTTTACCTGAGGTACCAAACACTCCCGATAACTCCCAAAATAACAATCACTAGTTACAGTCTGGGCTATGCCACGTTGGTTCTCAAAAAAGAACGGACCGATAATATTCCTGAAGCTCCACATCACACCGTTACTTCTGGGCTATGTCGGGGCCTTTCGTGCTTTTGCCTTGGACTCTCTGGTGCCCAATAGCGACAATTTTGCTTATTAACTGCGCTTCAAAGATGACAGCGCCCCTCGTCAGAATGTTATTAATTCGGTCGTTTGAAAAAAACTGTTTATCATTGTTTCGGCGAAGGGACGATGGTTTATGAAGTCATTTGGGTTTAATTCTTGCACTATTTGGATCTTGTAGGGATTAAGCTTTAAATTACTCCTTAAAATTGTATGAAAAGATGATTTACGCAATTCCACCACCATTGATGTTTTAACAGCGAACAGCTTAAACATTCTCAGGAGTAGTTACAGTCCTTGGACGACTAGGGCGTTTCACATTTAAAGCTAACGGTGATCCTCTAAACATCTTCAACCACGATTTCACTAAATTTTAACTTGGTCCACACGCCTAGTATTGAAGTGAGCATAAAATCTTCGTCTTGCAATTGTGTACGAGTCATTGTTCTTGAAATATGCCTCAATAATGAACGTACGAGACGCACCAGACCAACGCTCCAATTTTACTGAATAATCCGCATCGATCCACCATCGAAGGACGCTATGCCGACCGCGCTAAGTTACACTGTTGCCAAATTCAAGTTTAAAAATGGGAATTTGTTCCTGGACGCCTTGTATAATGATTTCAAAGAAGATGGGTTGAATATTTCCCTACAATTACCATCCCATTAGCCTGCTGACAGCTCCTTCTAGGCTCGCCGAAAAGGTGATCTTACGTCACCTTGAGAATTTCTGGTCAGATCAGCATGTCACTGCTGACGTGCAATTTGGCTTTCGGTCTGAGCATAGTACGTAGTCGCCGGCGATTAGGCTTGTGGAGCGAGTACCCAGGGGCTTCACCTGTAATGAAGATACTGGCATCTTGCTCCTTGAGTCTTTAACGCATTTGACAAGGTATGGATCAAAGGCCTTCTCTATAAAATCTAAAACTTTTGAAGTCCTTCCTTGAAGGTATTAAATTTCGGATCAAAATTCATAATGTTCTGTCGATAACACGGCCCATCAGAGCCGAACCCCTCAGGGTTAGGTCCTTGGACCAATCTGTTAGTCACTTTTTATTCATCACATCCCTTGCCCCAGCAACTGTTGCCTATCTCTATGCTGATGATACTGTACTGGTGGCCCAGTGGTGCTCTGGGAATCTGGAATTAATCTTTCAAAAAGCACCCTATCTATTTTACTTAACAACGTAGCGGCGCCCCGTCTGAGGTTTCAGTGAACGGAGTTCGCATACCATGGGAAAATCCTGCAAGGTATCTTGGTATTACACTTGATAAGGAGATGGCATGACCCAATCACACTGACACGTTAGATACCAAATTCCAAATTACATTTTGGCAACTCTACCCTATGTTATGTAGAACCTCAAAATTAAGGCATAGTCTGCAGCTTTTCCAGAACAGAACGCTGCTTACAGTTACTAGCACCCATGATCTGTTTCCAGTGAGACCTTTCACAGAGATCTCGACATCCCTTACCTAGGGGCTGATATCGATCAACAAGCGCAGCTAAGTTATAGTCAAACGGAATTGCATAGCAATTCTTTGTTGCGTGAGATAGTAGACTGCACAGTCGAGCAAGTTCGCAAGCACACAAGACCACGGCTCGCACTATGAACAAAATTATATCGTGCGACTTTAGGTCCAACCAGAATTACAATTTTTCTACAACAACTACTCTCTAACTTAATTTTGTTCTTTTTCGCCTTACTTTCTCTCTGTCTTCCTTCTTTCTCCCTGACTTTGTCTGGTATTTGGGCAACCAGACCTAATAGACTTACAATACGTTCACCAACCACGAATAGAAGCACAATATTGTCTATCTGAAATCAATGTCATTGAATCTAATCTGAAAATAAATATAGTTCACCTACTTCTAATCACCAGTAATATTGGTAATAGTTATTTTCTTCGCAGTCTACATATCGCTAATCGTATAGTGACCAATGCAAGCCTTCCTTATATCAACATTATGAATTTATTCAGCTTTTGATTATGTAGCAATTAGTAATAAAGCTAACTAGGTACGTAGAGAAGATGTATGTAAGAGAAAGTACGTTCATGTCGCATGTAATTTTTTTAAAAATAGATGCGTTGGAAAGCGGACCGAAGTAAAAGCATGAGGTAAAAGTAGTAGACATTGAGTGAAGATTTTATTTTACTGCTTTTACTTTGCCTGCATATGCCTGCATATAACATTTTTTGAATGTTGAAAACAGAGGCTTCTGTAATCTAACACCATTGTGTTACTTTCTGACACATCATGGCGACAAAGGTATACTAACTAACGGGTGATTTTTTAAGAAGTATAGGATTTGAGTCGATAGAACGGTCGATATAATTTAATGTTTAAAGATTATTTCATGTAAATGTTGGCCGCGGCTCCGCTTTAGATGGTCCATGCGCAAGGTCCAATTTTGGCACACTCTCTCCAACATATCGGCCGGTGTCTCACGAATAAATGCTTCAATATTGGCTTCCAGTGCGTCAATCGTTGCTGGTTTATCCCTGTAGACATAAGCCTTAACATGGCCCCACAAAAAATAGTCCAACGGCGTTAAATCACACGATCTAGGCGGCCAATTGACGGGCCCCAAACGTGAGATAAACTGTTCACCGAACTCGCCTCTCAATAGGGCCATTGTTTCGTGTGCGGTGTGGCATGTGGCACCGTCTTGTTGAAACCACATGTCAGCCAAGTCCAGCTCTTCCATTTTGGGCAAAAAAAAGTTTTTTATCGCACGGTAGCGCTCGCCATTCACAGTTACGTCCCGGCCATTGTCGTCTTTGAAGAAGTACGGCCCGATGATGCCACCGGCCCATAATCCATCACCAAACAGTGATTTTTTCGGGATGCATTGGTAGCTCTTGCAATGCTTCTGGCTGGTCTTCACTCCAGATGCGGCAATTTTGCTTGGTAACCTACCCATTCAACCAGAAATGAGCTTCGTCGCTGAACACAATTTTTCGATAAAAATGTGGATCTTCCTCCAACTTTGCCAGCGCCCATTCATCAAATTGGAAACGTTGTGGGAGGTCGTGCGTGGCTTCAGTTCTTGCACCAGCTGTATCTTATAAGGTTTTACACCCAAATCCTGTCGCAAAATTTTCCACGTAGTGGAGTAACAGAGGCCCAATTGCTGCGAACGGCGGCGAATCGACATTTCACGGTCATCACTAACACTGGCGGATACAGCCGCAATATTTTCTTCAGTCCTCACTCTACGTCTGCGTGTTGGTGGTTTAATGTCCAATAATGTAAACTGGGTTCGAAATTTAGTCACAAGCTTCCGAATAGCTCCCTCAGTAGGCCCATAAATTGGAAGCAGTACTCGATGCACTCTCTTAACCGAGCATGAATTTTGATAGTAAAATTCAATAATTTGCAAGCGTTGTTGGTTCGTAAGTCGATTCATGGTTAAATTATAGACCAAACTGAACAAGTTTGACAATGACACAAGACACGATTCACGTGTCATCTGTCAAAAACAGTGTTGCCAAAAAGATACTAGCAAAAAAATCACCCATTATAAGTTATAGCTATAGGAACTGAGCATTGCGATTTTTTGATATTCTTTGGTGTTTCAAATGATGTCCCCCTTTGACTTCACTTACGTTTACAACACAATTCTTACGATTTATACGTATATACGAGTATTGTGACTTGTGACAAATTTAAGTCTGAGCAATATATTAGCTATTCAGATTGCACTTAAAAAGTGATTTATGTTGTATTTCTTGCTCAATAGTAATTTGAAAAGTGTGTAAAGCTTGACTGATTTTGTTCGTTGTTGGTGTTGCAGCGAAGCACTATGTAAGATGAACGCCTAAATTGGAAATAGACATTTGTGAGATTTGTTTAGCAGTGCGCCT